GGGGGGGGGTGGAGGAGGGCGGGGGGAGAGGGTTCCCTTTAAGCACAGGCCTTAGATAGCCTCAGGCAGCAGCCACACAAAGTAACGCCTGACCTGATACCCTGTCGGACCTGGTTCCAGCCAGTCTTAAATGCGATTCAGCATCCACTCAGTGTGGATGCACTATTTCAAAATAGCAAAAAGCTATTTCGAAATGCATTTTTTGTGTAGATGCATTATTTCAAAATAAACTATTTTGAAATAACTATTTTGAAATTAGATATTTTGAAATAACGCTGTAGTGTAGACATACCCTGGGAGAAATCAACTTGAACAAAACCTTTACCTTTCTAGAAAATATTTTAGACTTTTAGATGCATTTTTTCACTTTTTTTTGCTTATCTCTACTTTTATTTCTTTTACTTGGCATCACTTAACCCACATTCTATTGTAAATATATTTGCTTTATTTTTTACTATAATTCAATTCAGGGCAGTGGTTAAAGAGAAAGGTGTGTATATAACCCCCAGTTAATTAATAAGGTATGATGTACTTGCATGTCTTTAAAGGAACAAACAATCCTTATTATTTCACTGAACCATCCAGGAGTGGGCTGGAGCACATGGCTTTGGGAAATCTGAGGACTGGGAATGTGTGGGGTCACTTTGCAGATTGTAACTAGAAAGTCAGAGTGGAGCTATGGGGCTGTAAATAGGCATCTGGGGTCAGAGGTGTTGAACGAGGGCTATCTAGTATACAGACAGACACTTAGGCTACGTCTACACTGCACAGTTATTTCGGAATACTTATTTCAGAATAGTTATTCCAAAATAGCTTATTTCGAAATAGCATGTTTACACTGCAGAGAAGCCTCAAAATTAGTAGGAGACAGGTTTCCCTAATGTCGATGTGCTATCTCGATTTAGAGCCCCAGGAGGAATAACTTAAAATGGCCCTGGTAAGGGGCTATTTTGAAATAGCAGAAGTGGAGCATCTACACACTCCTTGTTTCAAAATAGCTGTTTTGGAATAGACCTTATTCTTCATAGAATGAGGTTTACAGAAGTCGGAATAAGCCATCCATTATTTTGAAATTATTTCAAAATAACAGAATTGCTGTGTAGACACTCACATAGTTATTTCAGAATAACAACCATTATTCCAAAGTAACTTTGCTGTGTGGACACACCCTAATTAGAGTGCGACCTGCATGCTTATGAGCTGGCTGTAAGTATTCCAGGCAGAAAGCTACAGCAGCAAAGCACTGTATGGCACACAGTGTTGCAGGGCAAGTGATGACACAAACCTTCACTGCTCAGGATTGCAGCTCAAGCCCAATGACAGATACCTAAGCTATCTAACTTCAGGAAACAGGTTCCTATTTGTTGATCACCAAGCAGAAGTAGGCACCTTGCCGCAGCTGGGATTTAGGTACCTATATCTGTGAGAGGGACAGGGCTTAGGATATACCTATGTCATTGGCATCTCCCATTGGTTAGCTTAGACAGCTCCCCACCTAGCATCCTGGGTTTTGAGGATCATATTATATAGCATTTCTCTTTCCTCATTCATTATCTAAGGAGCGTAGATCCATAAAGCAACTGTTGTGAATGGCAGGGTTATCACTGTGATTTCTAGGAGTCTAAAAGTTAGGTCTTGTGATGCTGAGCTTTACAGTGCCTAACTCCCTTAGTGGATCAAAGCTCGTGAGTCCAACTAACTCTACCAGGCTCAGAGAGGGCTGTTAAAATTTCCAAAGCTACCTAACAGCTTTTCTATATGTTAAAAAAACATCATTTTTTAAAGTCCTGATATCATGGATTCTATCAGGGCTAGAAATGAATACTGTGTAGCCTGTTTTGAATTTGGGCATCTTCATTTCACAGTAGGATCATGCTGCCATTTCAGGCTCATTTAGGCCATAACATATAGAACTCCCCGATTATTTTGTACAATTCCAAATTTTGGGGGATGAAAAGGAAGAAACAACCTATGGCAGGCTTATTGATCTGTTTTGCTTTAAAAAGCTGTTTGAAGCCACTCAGACGTTTGGGAGGGCAGAAGACAAGGCATCTTCATTTCACAGTAGGATCATGCTGCCATTTCAGGCTCATTTAGGCCATAACATATAGAACTCCCCGATTATTTTGTACAATTCCAAATTTTGGGGGATGAAAAGGAAGAAACAACCTATGGCAGGCTTATTGATCTGTTTTGCTTTAAAAAGCTGTTTGAAGCCACTCAGACGTTTGGGAGGGCAGAAGACAAGCACTGGGCCACCAGCAGCAGCTAGATCAGCAGGGTTTTCATTCTTGCTACATAAACTTGCTACATAAACTTTAATTAAACTAATTAAATTTAAACCCTGCTGCCTGATTTAATTATGTAGGCAAGCTGTGCAGTTTAAAAGAGAACATAATCATCTGAAAAGTGGGCTATGCCCACAAAAGCTCATGATACCATCTACATATTTTGTTAGTCTTTAAAGTGTTACCAGACTATTTGTTATTTTTTAAGGTTTTCCTGTTACAGACTAACTTGGCTACCCCTCTGAAACTTCTGATCTTCTGGAAAGGCTGCAGGATTATAGAGCAGGGCTGTATTTCCCAGAGCCCTTCTGCAGGAAAGTTCCCCCAAAACAACCTATAGAAAGGTTGGCATTTGCTATTCAAATCCGCAGGCATTTCTTTTCCACGACCAGCTGGCGTGTGAGACCCACACGAGAGTATGTATGTGTGTGAGCAGTGCGGCTGATGACGGGGAGAGTGAGAAATGTGTGTCCTCATCTTTTACATGTTTCCTAGGGCAAGAGGGAGCATCGCCCCTTTAAGAAGGCAGTTCCTTAGGAGGTTGTTCTTGTGCTCATTGGAGCAATCATCGAGCAACGTGTCCCTGTCATGGCAGCTACTCCAGGTGGCAGTTTCCTGAGCACTGTCTCCAGCTGATCATAGCGGGAAGAAGCAGTGCCTCGCCTTCCTAACCCGGACGGGGGAACATGCGTTGACAGATGTATTTAAAGAGACCCGTAGCTGGTCTCTCCTTCTGTCTCTTCTATTTGGCTTCTTATTTCACCAACAAGGTGAGGATCAATCAGGGAGGGAGCTGCAAGTTGGTTTGTAGTGACTGATTGCCTGAGTACTTTTATAATTCACCTCGCTGGATTTTCTCCCAGATCTGACAGCAGGAAGGCTAACTGCATTTCTCTCTCTCCTCTCAGCATCTTTCCTTGCCCGCTGAAAGAGGAGGAGCTGCTATTTCACTTTCAGTTTATCCTGAGAATTGAGACTCCAGCTGGTGATAGTAGGGTATACAAAGCCCCTTTCCTCCTTGCAAATAACTGCTGTGCACAGACAAAGGAATTGGGAAGGGATACTTGTATTGTTGAGACTTCCAGCGCCTCTGTATGAGTAAGACACGACCCAGCAGAAACGCCACATCCCATGTTAAAAGGATGCATTTCTGTATCTCCCTTTAAAAGAACAGCCCATCAGTCATAAAATACAATTCCTTCACTCCATATATCCAACTCCTGCCCTTTCCCCAGGCAGCAGAGAGGGGGAAAGTTAGGTCCAAGGAAAATCTGGAACAATTGAAAGTGATGAGAATTTTTAGGGGCTATTTGTAAATATGTAGATTACAATGTTTCTGTAAGGCTGAGAACAAAGCCCTAGACAAATGAGTGAAGTGTGGCTAGCTGTGGGAAAGGGGCTGGGAAGAATTAAACAAGTATTAATTACACATTATTATTACTGTACAGGATTTTCATAGTAGTGTCACTGCCATTGTATATTTCTTCTCACTTTTAAAAATTCTTTTAGAAGCTTGAAATTGAAACATGAGGTGTCATTATCTTTCCACCTATTCAAGTGTAAAGCAGGACTAGTTGCACAGAAGATCTGGTTTCTTCATACAATTGTTAAGTATTATTATTGTTATAGTGTTGCTCATGAGTGCTGTGTTGCTACCACTTTTCTCCCCTAATAAGAAGAATTATTTAAAATCCTCTTAAAATTTTATTGGAATTAAAAAGAAAAGAAAGAATAGGACAAATGTTGGGCGTCTCACATCTCAGAGTATCCTTTCAATACAACGGAAGGCTTGTAAATATAGTAACTGTTAATCTATAGTGGCAGACAAAAGCTGATAGAAGTAAAAAAAAAAAGCACAATCAAAATTAAGAATTATACTGATTAGGAAAAGTTTGCTGGTTACTCCAAAATTAGGCCTGCAATTAGGGTTGTCAACTCTGACTGAAGCTATTCCAGAGATTTTTTTCCCCCAACATGATGTAATCACGTTTTCCTAAAATAGCCTATTAAAATCTCCAGGATTGCTTTCAATAGTCACCAGGAGATTGACACCAATTCTAGAAAAACTCCAGGCCAATCCTGGAGGATTGGCAACTCAAGATGTCACCTAAATCAAATCCCAGGTTCTCAACTAAAGCTCTAGTGGGTCTCTATTTGCTGTTGTGGGTATATGATTATCCATGATTGCTTGCACATTAGAGCTTCATGGAGCTGGTTCAGCTTTTAGAGATGTGCAAATAAGCAACATTTTCAAGGTATGTTAATTGCAATATCCTGCTTACTTACAAGAGCAAAGGGAGAGCCTCTTTGTAATCCAAACAAAAACTGATAGCTACAGAGCCAGTAGGTATGTTGCTTTGACAATGTTAATTTAATAGTCTTATAGTGTAATTATTAACTGTCTGACAAACATAGAAAGCAGAGGTGGTAAAGACCTGTTACATCATCCAGTCCTTATTCTTTCCAGCGCAGGATTAAGTATACCAGAAAACATCCGTTGCTGTTAAAATAGATTGGTAGCTTTAGTACTTGCAACATTCACTGGGGAATACTGCAGACACCAAGGTACATTATCCAAGACAAAACTGCTGAGGTTGTAAAGGTGATTGTGGTAGCTGAGAAAATCTTAGTATCCATTGTAGCCTCATTAAACTGTAAATTAAAGACAAAAATCTACTTTGCACTGTGCTGTCTTATGGAATTTCCAGTGACATCAGTGAAGAAATAGAAGGAAAATATACCAGATTACACATTGTGGATGAGAATCTTTATAGCCTAAATTTATTCTATAACTTTTATTTGTTCCCTAAGTACTTGTGTATTATGTAGTTTTAATTTCATGTTCTGAGTTTCACAGATTTATTTTAAATGCTGTTAGCTCAGGGTTGATGGCATCAGTAAGTCTGATTCTGCTGTCAATGAGAATGGTGAAAACTAGCAGTAATTCCATAGTAGAATTCTAGAGGCAAAATTGACACAAGTGAGAATCAATCCCAGAGTTCCCACTTTGTCATAATTTTTTTTGGGGGGGGGGCAAAGAGGAGAGCATGGTAGTCTATTTTTATCTTCTCTGTCAGACGGTGCCTCTGTGGCATTGGTACAGGTACCTTGCAAGAAGAGAGACCTTGGTCGTACAAACAAAGGACATGTGAAATTCCTTGGGATAGATGGAGAAATGTAGCTTTTCATGAATACACAATGTAAAGCCCTTGGCCCCCTCCCCAGCCAGGCTTCTGAGTTTGTCTCCCACACTTTCTATTAAGAATGTCAAGGAGGGTTGAAGTAGCTGGTAGGAACTGAAAGGGGCCAAAACAGCAGCTGTATTGTATCTAACTGGTGCTGGACTGGAGACACTGATTGGATAAATATATTTTATATAAGATAAATTGAATTCCCTCATACACCTAACATTTGTTTATGGCTTTAATGCAGGAAAATTGAAGATAATCAGAATAAGGCATTTTCATTTGTCAGAGAAGGAGAGAAAACATGTATCAACTTAGTAAATAAATGTTTTACAGATATTCTTCAACAAAACATTTGAGCCAAATCTTACAAGAGACTCATACCCTCCATGCCCATTAAGGGCAATGAGTGTTGAGTTTTGCTCAGATCCTTTCAAGATTATGTCAATAGATTTTTGCTACAGGCATTACTAAGCAACTGTTGTTAAGACTGAAACCTGCATTATTTTCTGGCTCAGAAGGTTTGTTAGTTACATTTAATCCACAGGGCTAAACTCTACTTTCAGTTACATCTGTACAACCTAATTGTTGCAATTGCAATTATTCACATATTTTCTTAGAAAAGTGTAGCAGGTGTATTTATTCACATCACAACTAAAAAGTTAGTGTGGAGGGAGAATTTACTTAGTTTCACTACGAGGCAAGCTACATAAAGACACATCTGGAACACTCGATATCCAGTATTAGAATACATACTGTTCAGGTGGATATGTGTATGAAAAGTATAATGGAGTGGATGATCAACTATGATTTTATTTCTCAAATTCTACAATTCTGCTTGTAATTTTAATTACAAGAATCATGAGTCTCATATATGAGGTGGGATGGTAGCTTTTGCATAGGTTTGGAGCCTGTAGTTTTAACCAAAGACACATATCTTTGGGCTCGGTATTATTAAAATATCAGTAATGAGTGTGCATTACATTATATCCAATAATGCTGTAGCTAGGAAACCCAGCTTGGACTGACTGAACTGGAAGAGATACTGTAATAGAGGAACTGGGCCCCCACACAAATGCTTATAAACCCGTTAATGTCAGGGAGGCTCTAAGTGGCAATTTGTAAAAGAGCATGGCTGCAGTGATAGCATAGGGCCAAAAACTATCTCATATGATTCCACTGCAAGTCTGGCAACCCCCACATAATCATTAGGGTTCAGCCACGTTCTAGATTCAAATGCTAAGGCTCACCACCACTAGAGCTTTATCAAGAGTGTGATTTAAATCTTCTCCAAGGATTCTCACCATTCTCACCACAAAATAACCTTGGCTTTCAAGGGAACATTAACAACCATTTAGACCCTGAACAGTCTATGATCAGTCTCTAACCCTCCATACTGTTCACTGCTGAGCCCTATGGCAGAGTCTTTGCCTGAGGACTAAGCAAAGTATGAGTCTAATGGAATAAATGTCTCTGTAGTGGCCAATGCCTTACTTCTTAATTTGGCCCACTTGCCTGCTCCTCTCTTCCACACGGACCACTTCCTGTGTTATGCCTTTTTTGGGGATGGTATTTTTCCTCCTTTTTCAGACAGTTTAACTACTCTTCTTTACTGGGGATGTTTTCAAGTCCTTAGATGCTGCATAGTCATCTGTGAAGGCAGATTTTAGATCCTTATTTGCAGAGGCACATATGTGGGAAATCACCCTAAGGTCCACATCCCATTCTAAAGAAACAACTTCTGCTTCTTCAGTATGACGATCCATTTTCCAAAGCAGTTCCCAAACACTAGTACTTAATATTCCATCCAAAAAAACTATACTAACCACACTGAGACTAGAAAGCACAACACTCGATGTCAGGAAATGGCTACACTAACATGCCAGTTCAACCTTGCCTCTGTGCAAGGATAGGCCTGCAATATAGTAGCTTTAATTGCATTGTCATTTTTTTTCCCTTCTGGATCCTGATCTTGTGTAGTGTGGAAGGTGCTCAGTGAATGTGACTGCAGTCCAATATTTATATTTATCTATATTGTTCAATGTGTAGCCCCCATCGTTTATTTACTTGAATGCCATGTAAAGTCCTGCACTGGGGATGTGTGTTGATTGCACTGATTTTTAGAATTCCTTGCTTGTGCTTCTTTCTGTAGGAGTTTCTTGTTCTCCATTGCTTTCATGAATGTCTGTTAATGTTATAATATCATGTTCATTAACTTGGTATTTGTTTTCCAGTATGTCCTGTCTGTCCTGAAATTCACCTACCCTACCCTTTTTCAAGGGTAAGTACCATTTGAAAAACACGTTTGCTTGAAATATGATTCTCATCAGTTAATGTCTAGCTGTCCCATTCTGAAGCTAACTTTAGCATCTCCTGTCATTACAAGCTTTCCTTGTCTAAAGAACATACAGTAAAATTTTAGTTAACTAGTCTAGCTTTGTATTAATGTCATTTTTGTAAACTATCTGTTTACAAGATCAACAGTCTCTCCATCAATTCTAGTTTTCATGGTTGCCTGATATTTTAAGCTAGGAAAGCAGTAATTGTAATATGTCCACGCTTCTTTTAAGAAGTATTCATTTTGATGCGCATATGTGATCTATTTAATTTCTTCCATTACGCTGACAAACACAAATCAGTATCTAGGCTAATACAAATACAGGGGACATTTTAATTTCCAAGCTCTGCCCATTTTTTAATTGCAATTCTGTATCTCAGCTCACAACTTTATGCAAGTTACTCTGACAAGCTTTTTGTTTTGGTCAAGTTATCTGATTTTACTACACTAGACTTCTGATAATCCGGAACCTATGGGACTTAGGTGGTGCCGGATTATCAGATATGCCGGACTATCAGGAGGTACTATAAGATGGTTATATATATACTGTATACATTATATACTGTATATAAAGTGTTCTAAACCCTTTTTATTGTACATACTGTATACAGTATACTGTAATGTTTTAGTTTTTTAAGCCTTTTTTACCCTTTTTGCTCAGTTCAGCTGCTGCCGCTGTTACCTTGTGACTCATTTTTTGCTGAAGTTCACTCACTAGGCTCTTGCCATTTTGATGCCGGACTATCAGGAGTGCCGGACTATTGGATGCCGGACTATTGGAGTTTTACTGTATTACTGCTGTCATCAAAAGACATTGAGTAAAATCCTGGTCCGTTGATGTTAATGGAGGTCAGAATTTCACCCATCATTTCTGTCCTCTTGGCATATGTGACCTGCCAATAATGTTTATAGAAGGTGAATATTTTCAAGTCCTGGATCACTATCAAACTTTTTCTATCTTCTCCCTCCCACCTTGTCTGCTTTGTGGCACTTTGACTGCAATGTACCCATGCGAATCTCCATTTTCTCTGAGTCCTGTTGGTTCTAGTAATCCAACAAGAGTTATGAACTTTTTTAAGGGAAACTTATTCTACTGTCTATGTGTATACAAAATATCTTATATTACTCTATCATCCAAGACACAAGAAAAAAACACCACACCTACTCACCCCCCTCCCCACACACACACACACTTGTTTTCTGGGAGTAAGCAGATGTGAGGGGAGTATGTAGAAGACAAATATGGTAATTCCTCATTAAAAGTCAGTATTCACTAGCAGCTACCACACTGGGCTATCTAAGCTCTGGTCTTCAAAATCACTCCCCTTATTTCAGAATAACAAGCAGAGCATCCACACTACCATGCTGTTATTTTGAAATAAGGGGCTGGTTATTTTGAAATAATAACTCCTGCTTTCCACAAGGAATAATACTTATTTTGAAATAGCAGTAGTGTGGATGCTGCACTACTGCTATTTTGAAATAACTACTCCCCAGAGTTGTTCAAAGTAATGACTCTCCAGTGCTTCCTGGGGCTCTAAGTCGAGGTAGCGTGTCCACGTTAAGGGAGCCTGCCTCGGACTAATATTGAGGCTTCCCTGTAGTGTGGGTTCGCTATTTCAAAATAGTTATTTTGGGAGTTATTATTTTGAAATAAGTTATTTCCAAATAATTTCATAGTGTAGACATGCCCTAAGTTGCTGCAGTTATTTCCAAATATATGGAAATAGTGGACTACCTCACTGTAGTAATGGTTGGTAAATAACAGACTTTTAAAGGTGACTGTTGTCTGAGAATTGTTAAAGGCCTTTGCTTACTATCTCTTTAGATTTGCCAGTCAGAGAGCCAGGGAGCAAAACACCTTATCCTCACCATCTTATTGTGCCATGGGTCTCTTGTCTTTGCTTGTGTTCTCTCTCTGATATAGGATTCTCTCCTGCAAGGTGCTGAGGCCCTTC